GACAGGCTCCAGGCTGAGCCGCCGCTCCGTGCGCAGGAGCCTGATGGGCAGAACTTCCCTGACTCGCAGAACCTCCCTGCTGGAGAAATGCTCCCTTGTCCCCAAGAGGGAAAGCATGCTCCGGAGATCTGTGACCAGTAGGGCAGCTCAGAAGTCATCTGTGTCCTCCAGTTGTGTGGATGGTAAGTGGGAACGTACCGGAGGAGCCTGCTTGGCACCTTTCCTGCTCCTTCTGTTGGTTCCTGCTCTTGGCTGCTGAAGGAAAATGTTGTGGGGCCAATTGTGTGGGTGCAGCAGCTGATCTCCCTGGGCCAGGCAAGCTGCAGGCAAGCACAGGTTTTCTACCTGGCTTCCTAGAGACCCATGTGAACCGAGGAACCCGGGCAGCTCTGCTGCTTCCTGGCCTGTGGAATGTGCTTTAATGTGCCCTGAGCTGCTGTGGTGGCAAAGCCAAGGAGGAAACTGGTGGGTGGGCTTTGTGGCTGCTCAGAAGGATCAGGTGCTCCCGTGAAGGCCAGTGTGTTTCCTGGGAAATGAGGCAGCTCTCCCAGATTCACCTACCTTTAAACAGGGTCTGGCTGCCAGTTCTAGAGCTTCTCTTTTGAGAAGGGGATTTTGAGGCACAACTTTGTAAGTTTATTACAAGTCTTCCAGACTGTTGCAGCTTGCTAGAGAGGCAGATCCTGGTGAAGGAGAAACATCCAAATGTTCTTCTGTGCTACTGGAAAACAAGGGTTGGGTTTAGTGCAGAGGAGAGCAAGTGATGGCTCTAACCTCTCTTTCCTGAAGCTGAGGGAAGAAGGAAACCCAATTTAGTGCTGAGAAGAGCAGGGCTCTTTCACAGCTGCTGCTTGGTTTGAGGGGGGGTGAAAGCTGAAGAAATGTTGCTGTGGCCTGTTCATCTGCAGCCCCCTGGCTGTGGGGGACTTGTGCTGGATAAATCTGACTTTTCTTGAGGAGTTGTCCTGGTTTTGCTGCACAGGGATGTATTTGGAGAAGCACTTTAGTGTTGGTTTTCTTTGCCAATGTAGTTGTTGTAGTAGGTGTCTCCAGCCCCAGCGCAGTGTGGAGCACGGTGTGGGTTTGTGAATGTAGGGAGGTCTGCTCCTCTGTGGTCTGAAGAGGCACTGAGGCAGCTTTACCATCAGTGTCTTGTCCAGCTCTGCATTGCCTGGGGGATTTAAGGGTTTTATTTCTTCCCTCTGCCCTACCTAACACGATTGTTCTGCTGGGTCAGAATTCCTGGTGTAAGCAGAGGAACGGAGATGTTTCAGGCAGCTCCAGCTGAGCTCAGCAGTGCCTGGGAGCCCCTGGCACCTCGGTGGGCTGCTGAGCCTGCAGGGAGCAGCAGGTTGTGCTGGGGGTGTGTGCAGCACTGGTTGTGCTTCCTCCACAGTGCTCCTCATGATTAAGAGCAGCTTCCGTGGCGCTGGTCCCTGGAAGCTGCTGCCATGGAGCCAGCTGGAATGCTGACTGGGAAGCAGCCCTGCCTGTAAATAATGCTGCCTTTAACTACTGCTAATGTCTGGGCATGGCCCTGAGCCCAGAGCTCTTCACCCTTAATGCCAGCTCCTTGAGTATCATTTTGAACTCATCTATAATTGACAACAGCTGTTTTCTGACATTAAAATTGCAGGCAGCATTTCTCTGCTGCTGCTTGGGTGCCCTTGGCTGCCCTGCCTGCAGCAGTGTGGCTGAGTGTGGGCAGCTCTCAGGAGAGCAGCCAGTGTCTCTGGGAGCCTGGAGTACCTTGCTCCTGCAAAAAGAACCTTGGCCTTCACCTGTACCTTACAGCTTTGGTGCTTTTTTCTTTCCTGCAGCCTCTAGCTCTGGAGAGGTGCCAGAGGAGGAAGAAACAGTTCTGCAAACTGGGTGAGGCTGCTTTAAGATATTTCTTTATCCTTAATACCCAGCTCAGAGGGATTTTTTTACGGTGTTGTTATTGGTGTACAATGCACTGCTCACAGATCACTAGTGCCTTCCCAGTTCCCTTGATGTTATTCAACAGCTGCCTTTTTGCTTTTCTTTTTCCCTCCAGGCCTCCTCCTGGACCTTGTACCCCCTCCAAGTTGGTAAGGTTTGAGCAGAGATACAAAGCATTTCTGTTTGTGTGGACTTGGGAGCAAATGGTGTTGAAAACTCTTCCTGTTGGTTACTGGGAGCTCTGGTCCAGGTCCCTGGGCTTGACCCACTGAGCAGTGCTGCCATAAAGAAGGCACCAGCCTGCCCATCCCTTCCCTGGCTCCAGTACACAGACCAGAGAGAGTCTGAGGTTGTCA